AAGCTGACTGTATGACCTTCTGATCACTGTTTCACTTTAAGTGACTCCTTTATAACTGTGTCACAGGAAGTCACTTGGTTTGCATATTAATTTGAAATATTAGGGTGCAAATTTACCATGGTGTGTGACCAGGTGACCATATGTCTCATGTTGGGGTGCAGCAGACTTCATCACTGCTCCACTACTCAATCAAGTGCAAAAAGAATATCAAAAAGAAAAGAACAAAGACAAGGAAAAATACTGGAAAAAATATTAACTTGTAAAAGCAGCATGTAATACAAAAAGAGAGGAAGAGAAGTTATTGATGCATTGTGGGAGGTTCACCAGAACCCCAGGCTTATGGCAGGATTTCTAACAAATTTGTGGAATAATTTATTCAATAAATATATCTTTGTATATTATGTATTATGTGATATCCAGTGTAATATTCAATTTAGCATTATATGAGATAAACAGCTGCTGACAAGAAATGAATAGAAGAGACCTCTTTGGTAATTTCTTTGCTGTTGTACATCTTAATTGAAGGGCCATGGATTAAACACAATCAACAGAAACTCAGTAGCTCACACTTAAGTACTTTGTGTAAGCTTGAAGTCAGTAGACAGTTTGTGAGATTAGCTGGATCTTTTAATCAGCCTGTCAAAGTCTTATGAACAAAGCAAAAATGTAAATGGATTTGTAAGTAAAAAACAAAAAACAAAAAACAAAACACAAAACAAAACAAAATCACATGCACAAGCACATATGAGTGAAAAATGTCTGAGGATCACTGGAGGATTTTGTTCAGCTGTTCAACTAGTTCCAGTCACTGTGAGTCTCGAGCACAATAATACACAGCAGAATCTTCAGTCTTCAAGTTGTTCATCTGCAAAAACAGCTGTTCTCTGCTGTTGTCTCTGGAGGCAGTAAACCTGCCTCGTACTGACTGAGAGTAGTAGTTGGTGCCTCCATTAGCCTCAGTTGCAATCCACTCCAGTCCTTTCCCAGGAGCCTGTCTGATCCAGGCCATCCACCAGCTACTAAATGAGAGTCCAGAGGTGGTACAGGTGAGTTTTTGAGACTCTCCAGGTTTTTTAACAACGGGTTCAGACTGTGTCAGAGTCTGACCATCAATACCTGTAAAAACAGAATTGAATAATAATCAGTTCCTTTATGTTTTTCAAAATTTTATTGATGAGTAAATCTTGTAGATCTTCACCTGCCCAGCAGATTGCTAATAGCAGCAGCCCCGTCCTGCAGTCCATTGTGTTAAACTTTGTGACTTCTGCTATCTGTTATGCTTCCTGCAGTCACATAAGTACATGTGTAAGGTATGTAAGTTTTGCATTGACTCCTCCTCACATTAACTAGACTCATGTGAACTCACTTTAACTGAGCGTCACATATTAACTGGAGAAACTGGAGTGGATGCTACATGTAAGTAAATGTTTGCATAAACTTTAAATTGAGTGACAGTTTTGGACATCACTTCAGTAACAAATAAAGAAATAAATATGTGATCTGTTTGATTAAGTGAACCATTTTGATTTGCCACTTCCTGAGGCTTGAGACCAAGTTTCTGTTCAGTAAAAACAAATAATAGACATAATGTTAATGTTTATAAATGTTATCTCTTTTTTACAATTTCTGCTATCAGTGTCTCCAGTATTCTAACTGAGTGCACATTCACTCATCTTGCAAAATTACAACACACTTTT